AAAAGGGTTTTCACTCAAATCTTTAAATATCCAAGTGTGTTTGTTTCCTTTATGTGACTTGAGCCAATGATGTTAATAAGTCAGACATCAAAGTATGTGAATGGATGGGTTTACCTCCCAGTCCAAAGGACTCTGGTAACGATCAAATGAGTCCATTATGATGAGAAATTTACATTCATCCTCCTCCAGGAAAGGCTTTACATCTTTGCAGTCAGAATAAAAATATTCAATGATTTCCATGATGGACATCGTCTGAGAAGGAGGGAGGTGTTTGTTTCGCAGGACCCACAAAGATCTGAATGAAAGTTTGATGACAAACTGGATATCCTGGATAGAAAGAACAACAGAAAAGCTTTTGGTTATGAGCGAAACACAGGAACAGTAGCACAGCTTGTCTTTGCTGCAGCTGGAAAACCAAATACTGGCGACTCAAACCAACTACGCTGTGCAGTGCTCAGGCTTCACACAGTATATAAGATGATAAAAAGGGAAATGTAGACAAAATATTGTGTAATTCCAAATATCAAACACATCTAGAACTCACACTGGCTTTCCTTTATGGAACGAGCTAATTACAGCCTCTAACCCAGCATTAAGGAGGATGAATGGATGGATGACATATACAAAAAGATCATTCCCCTTACAGCTGTTATCAGAGTGAAACAGACCGAGTGAAGCTGCTGAGATTTCTGTGTTCTTTCAAAGTAACTGCTAACGCTTCATGTATCAAGTGCACGAGACTGGAAAATAGTTCAAACAGTGAGCTCCTGCTGGAGTGATGGTATAACCACGTGTTTATCCACAGCAGGGTCCAACCCGAACGCTTTTTCTGGTCAGGACTGGCCTGAGGCGCTCATTGGGTCAGGATACGCAGAATGTAAAGCATAAAGGCTCAGAGAACTCAGACCTCCCCACTCAGGACCAGCCCAGAACACACCCTGCTGTGGCTTTACTGAAGCTGTGATTTGTAAACATCTCACCTTATTGGCCCGCTGTTCGGCCCAATCCAGGCAGAATTTTCCCACACACACAGTCATGCCAACTCCTGGAAGCCCTGTGGTCACCACCGTCCTCACCGGAGCACCGTCATCTTTCTTTAGTCGGATCAAATTGTTCAGTCCAACAAAGGTGTCAGGGCTGGGGACCGGGACAGGGGACGCAGGTGGTCGTAAATCGTGGGTGGGATAAATTCCTCCACAACCAGAGGTGGAAATCTCCGGCTCCACAAAGACCTTGTCTAGAAAGTTCTGCCTCCCAGCTTGAATGACTCCCTCCCTGATGACTTGATGTTTTCTGAATAAAGCCTGCTGCAAGCGGAAACGCATCAATGCTGTGTTGGAAAAAGATATGGAGGAAAGTGAGAAAATGACATGTAGGAAAGAAAGAAACATTCAGTCCTTCGGGTACGTGTTGTCTAAATTCTGAGGGCTAAAATGAGATCATTGCCATCATTCAACAACACATCACCTACAGGGGGAAGTAAGCAGTTAAATCCAGGACGTCACACAATCTACAAGTCAAGAAGCTTGCAGACAGAGCAGGGGTGTCCCACCCCAGGCCTCGAGGGCCGGCGTCCTGCAGGTTTTAGATCTGACCCTGGGTCAGCACACCTGAATCACATGATTAGTTCATTCCCAGGCCTCTGGAGAACTTCAAGACATGTTGAGGAGGTCATTTAGCCTTTAAATCAGCTGTGTTGGATCAAGGACACATCTAAAACGTGCAGGACACCGGCCCTCGAGGCCTGGGGTTGGACACCCCTGGGACAGAGGTCAGAGAATAGATGTTCGAGTGTCGGCAGACAGCAGGAGCATCAGAGTTGCACATCGAGCTACAGCAACTTTCTTATTTGTGATGATTGGAGCAGCAGATGCTTTGTAATGGCCGAGGCATGAAAATATAAAATGTCGTTTCATTTTACACATGAGTAACCCTGTTAGTATATGAATTGTTGAGCCATGGCCAAAAACAATTATATTGTCACTCTGACTTAAACAGTCTCATCTCTGACACAGCGACCACAGTGATTCTGAAGTAATCCCATTGAGGCTTCCCAGAGCTGTTCCCGCGGATATTGGATGTCATTTGCCGTGAGGCATAAAACGCTCCGAGCACTTTGACCCTTCTTGAAACAGAAACATGAACATACTCTGCTGATGGTGCTGAAACCTCCTGAAAGCCCATGCACTGTCCGCTCACCTCTCTTACACATGTTTGACAGCTCCTCTGCTTCTGGCTTCTTGTTGATATTTTCCAGATTCGTTATTGTGTGAGTCAGAGCTCGATCTTGTCCTGCAGAGCATAGTTTGCATCCAAAATAAAAGCAATAAGAATGTGTGACACAAGTGTCCATCACAGCAACGACTGTTTCAGCTGTGAAATAAACTTTTACACCAAAATCCCCCCACAGTTGTAAAAGACTGGTTGGCAGCTGTTGCTCCTAAGCGTGGCCCAGCCAGTGATTAGGCTCAGGGGAACACCTTTCCACACGCAGGTTTGGATTTTTCCCCCATAAACTCCTTCATTTAGAAACTTCTGCTTTAGTTTACTTGTGTTGTCTGTGTTTGACATTTCAACTTGTTTGATGAGTTGAAACATTTAAGTGTGACAAACACACCAAATAATAGGAACTCAGGAAGAAGGCAAAG